TGTTTAAAACAGAGTGACAAGCATACCCAACAATACTCAGGTACAAACAAATGACTCATCTTTACAACCTTCAAATCAATTCTAAATCCTTCAAAATAATCCTTGGGTGGCAAACATATACATTCAAACTTAAAGTCTGGGGTGGGCTTATTGCAGGACAACCTAAGGAACGGCAATTTATATATGGGTGGGATTATTACAATGATTATAGTCAGATAAATTCTACAGAAATTCACTCTAAATTGTCATTTTATAAAATTTCGTAAATGTATCTTATCACACAACCTTTCGTATATACAGTACGGGACTAATCTATCTTCGTAAATTGTGAACGACAGAATTTTTGCTATGGTGGGATGACATTACCAGGTATATTTGGAACCAAGTGTTGTCCATCATGTATCATTACCGAATGAGATGAGTCAGTCATCTTTCTCATGTCTCTAATATTTGACATTTCTATTAAAGAAAAACTCAGTTTCTATCAATTTGAATATTAGCTAAATGCTCTTTGTAAAAAGAATGTAATGACATCATATCTGAATAACTTCTGTTATTGCAAATTTTTAAAGAAACATTGCTGAGTGAAAATTGCACATCAGAAAAAGTCCTCACTTGAGCTCAGTACTACAAACACAAGCTCAAAATTAACAGAATCCAATACTTTTATCAGTGTGATAAACCAATATAAAAAAAGATGTTTCCTGAATGTTTTCTGTATTGGGATATTGCTCTCTGTTACTGACAAGGAGACACTGGCAGTAAGTTCTTTATCCAGTGGAATAGTAGCAGACACACCATACGAAATTCACACAACAAAGAGATTATGATCACAGAAACACGTGATGTGTTGATAAAACAAGTGAGAACATGGTCTTAGATTTACAACGATTCCATCAACCTAATATGTCGTTTTGATGCTACCAACAAATCTTTAATATGTCAGTTAACCTTTCATTCATTGATAAAAATAATAAAAAATCAATCAAATTTATAAGGCTGGCCCCAATTTTTTTTTTTATTTCAAATTTGGTCCCAAATTATACTTGTTCCTGATACTTGATGTATATAATTTTCACTTTTATGGATTCTCAAAAATTTTCATAAAACGTCTTCTTGCAATTTTGCGTGATTTGAGTCTCTGATGCAGTAATGATAAATATATGTTATAAACTTCAAACAAATCCAAGCTAATAAAATACCACACGATTATATGATTTATAACTCGTAAACTTGTGTTAAATTAGTTTTATAAATCTCTGTGAAGTCAGTCAAATGTCTGATTGGTTTTCATTCTATAAAACTACATTAATGTGATGTTACAGTATAACAGCCAGCACAAGCGCCATGTTTAATGACAACGGCCAGCACGAGAGCCATGTTTAATGACAATGGCCAGCACGAGAGCCACGTTTAATGACAACGGCCAGCACGAGAGCCATGTTTAATGACAACGGCCAGCACAAGAGCCATGTTTAATGACAACGGCCAGCACGAGAGCCACGTTTAATGACAACGGCCAGCACGAGAGCCACGTTTAATGACAACGGCCAGCACGACAGCCATGTTTAATGACAACGGCCAGCACGAGAGCCACGTTTAATGACAACAGCCAGCATGAGAGCCACGTTTAATGACAACGGCCAGCACGAGCGCCATGTTTAATGACAACGTCCAGCACGAGAGCCATGTTTAATGACAACGGCCAGCATGAGAGCCACGTTTAATGACAACAGCCAGCACGAGCGCCATGTTTAATGACAACAGCCAGCATGAGAGCCACGTTTAATGACAACAGCCAGCACGAGAGCCTTCCAACATTTCTATCTCACACTAGCACCACTATCACCTAATTGCAAATTCAGACTTACCTCTAATCTTGATATTGAAATTAAACATTGATTAACATCTTAAACAGTAAATCCTATCACCTATTACTGGCAAGAGTTGTTACACTTGCATCTGCTACACAAACCTAAAGGTTAAAGGTCACCAACTAACTAAGGCATTGAGACTTATAAACTACTATTTTCAGAAATTACTCTAAATCATTATACAGTCCTCTGTGTAATCTGATGGTATATTTCACAGAATAACTTTAGTATCAAAATGTCACGAAATTCAACAGCTGTATTGTACAATTACAATAAAATTCATTGTAATGTAGTCAGTCTTAGAACCATGTAACACAATTCAACCATAGCATCGTATATCTACCGTTTGCTATTTAATCAAACCATTTAATGCAAATATTTCTTTGCAAGAATATACAAAATTTCACTAATGAGACTTACATGAGCAGTGTGATTTTTGTTCATAACTCAATCACTTTGACATCAGAATTAAACCATTGCATGACACAGTTCAAGCATTGAATGTAAATTCAATTAATTAAACCACATAATTAAATAAAGTCGCTGAACCATGAAAAATAATTTTGATAACTACGGTATCATATATAGACAACCAATGATTAATTATGTTATCTACAACACCATGTTTTTTAGCCATTGAATCATTAAAACTAAATTTATAACTAATTTTCCATACATATTCAACCAATGAGTTACAATAATACACGAACACATGTACTATCATTATGACAACAGCGAAATCACAAATTTTCATGGTTGATTGATTTTCTTTGATTCATTAATACTCTCAATTCACGAATTAATAAGCCTACAAACTGATGATTTATTAAGCTATATTTGTCAAAAAAAATCTGATGTCCATGAAATAGCGATTTTTTGAAAAAACCACAACAATGTTGAGCCACAAAAATTTTTGATCTTATCATATGATATTCAAGCATTGAATGATAAAACAGAAATTCAACCACAGAATCATACAACGAAACATTCTGTCATTAGATGATAAAAATGGGTTGAAATTAATTAATTCAATAACTAAATATTGGATTTTATAAACCCAATTATATATCAAGACAAAGGAATTACTAAAAAAAATTCTGAATTCACATACCTAAGAGCAAATTAAAACATCAATGCATGATTCAAAGTTGTATAGCTGGAAAAAATATTCGATACACAAACAAAACAAAACAAAATTATATACAATACACACTAAAACTTGTGCGTTATTACTTTCAATTATGAAAAAAGCATGAAACACAATAGCGATTTTCTAATTCAAAAATATTTCTACCAAAACTTACACAGTGATAAGATATTTGTATAATTACACTGATTGTTTGATATATGTGGAAATAAAATGGAGTAGGCGTTAAAACTTAGGCTACACAAGGAAACAGTTTTCATGTAGGTAATGGAAAAAAACTAGACCATATTAATGTTTTGTTTTATCTGGTAATTTTAAGCCTTTCCTATAAATCCAATTATGCTAAATTGTTCAATGCAGAGAGTGCAAAAAATTGTATAGTTAACATAATACCTGGTCACTCTCGAACACATAACATTCGTCACTCTCAGACACATAACACCTGGTCACTGTAAGATGCATAACATCTGGTCACTCTTGGACACATAACACCTGGTCACCCTAGGACGCATAACATTTGGTCACTCTCGAACACATAACATTCGTCACTTTCAGACACATAACACCTGGTCACTGTAGGATGCATAACATCGGGTCACTCTCGAACACAAAACACCTGGTCACCCTAGGACGCATAACATCTGGTCACTCTCGAACACATAACATTCGTCACTTTCAGACACATAACATCTGGTCACTGTAAGATGCATAACATCTGGTCATTCTTGGACACATAACACCTGGTCACCCTAGGACGCATAACACCTGGTCACTCTCAGACACATAACATCTGGTCACTCTCAGACACATACATCTGGTCACTCTCAGACATATAGCATCTGGTCACTTTCAGATACATAGCATCTGGTCACTCTCAGGCACATAGTATCTGGTCACTCTCAGACACATAGTATCTCAGACACATAACATCTGGTCACTCTCAGACACATAACATCTGGTCACTCTCAGACACATATCATCTGATCACTCTCAGACATATAGCATCTGGTCACTTTCAGACACATAACACCTAGTCACTATCAGACACATAACATCTGGTCACTCTCAGACACATAACATCTGGTCATTTTCAGACACATAACACCTTGTCACTCTCAAACACATAGCATCTGGTCACTCTCAGACACATAGCATCTGGTCACTCTCAGACACATAGCATCTGGTCACTCTCAGACACGTAGTATCTGGTCACTCTCAGACACATAACATCTGGTCACTCTCAGACACATAACATCTGGTCACTCTCAGACACATATCATCTGATCACTCTCAGACATATAGCATCTGGTCACTATCAGACACATAACACCTAGTCACTATCAGACACATAACATCTGGTCATTTTCAGACACATAACACCTTGTCACTCTCAAACACATAGCATCTGGTCACTCTCAGACACATAACATCTGGTCACTCTCAGACACATAACATCTGGTCACTCTCAGACACATATCATCTGGTCACTCTCAGACATATAGCATCTGGTCACTTTCAGACACATAACACCTAGTCACTATCAGACACATAACATCTGGTCACTCTCAGACACATAGCATCTGGCCATTCTCAGACGCATTATCCCTGCAGCTCACTCTCTGTTGAACACAGGTGAGCTAACATTCTCATCATATTTAACTGACATTTTAAGCTTAACATGTCATCAGTAGTGCGTTCATGTATGTGATGTTAATTTTAAATCTTGTGTGATAATCTCTTCACGACATGTCTGATATTCTATTTATCAAACCACTGATGTTCTGTTCACCATACTACAGACATTTTGTTCATAGTTTGTCAGACCCTCTGACTAAATACATCATCTTCTAATTCTGAACCTCATCCCTGTTGGACACTCCGTAAATCATGCCTAACTGACGTTCTATTCATCACATATAGACTCAGGTATTTGATATTCTATTGATCACATCCATGTTTTCAGGAATATAATATTCTCATCACATGTTCTTGACATTGTGGAAAAACCAATCCACTTTCTGTTTCCACTGTTCACCAACAGCAATGTTAAATTGTTCTGAGAAATATTCCACTGCGTCTCGTTCAGATTTTTCAACAGCCAGAGTTTTACGGAGGTAGCTGATGTCGTCAAGAGATTGAAGTTCTGGTATACCACAGGAGAGCATCATCGTAAATAGATTGATGAGAAGATGTGCATTCTCCCGTAGCACGAGGTAAGCTTCGACACACATCTGGGCAAACCTGATATAAAAATACAAATTCTTAAACAGTGCCTACAGTATCAACATCAGTGTTGGAATGACAACAGCATATGCTCATTTAAATGTTAAGTCTAAAATAGAGGCCCAATGGGCCTGCAGTGCTCACCTGATATATATATACCATCCAAATATCATGCCTTTAGGCCTATTATTTCATGGGAAAAAGTTGTTTAAAGGTTTCAACAAATTTTACCCCTGTGACCTTGAATATAAGTCAAGGTCAATTTTTTCTCAAACTTTGTCGGGCTTTATCCTTGAAACATACCAGCTAAATATCAAAATATTTGGTCCATTGGTTATTGAGAAGAAACTGTTTAAAGGAAAAAGTTTACACTCAACGGCAAACGCTATGCCACAGCATAAGCTCACTTGGCCATTAAGGTGAGGTGATTTAAAAATCAGCCAAAATTTCATCTTTTTAAAATAAAAACATTGGATCTTTCTCATTGAGTGTGTGTATAATGTAACATTTCATATTATGATCATACGATATACCAAACATTCATATTCCTGTAGTACTTTCAGAGAAATTTAACTAAAGGGAATTTCTTAATGTTGATGAATAAGACAAAATACCAAAAACTGAAATTCTCCTCTCACACTTATTACCTACAAGTTCAGGAATAATCAACAAAAGAACAATTCTATGTATTTAACTACAAATGTACATGTGTTTGTTTACTGATATGTGTTTGTTTACTGATATGTGTTTGTTTACTAACAGTATATATGTGTCAAATTTCAAGTCCATTTGAAAATTATTGCAAATTCTTAAAATGTATCAATTTTTCATGCTTTCATCAAAAATCAGTTTGATTGTTTCTTAATCCATTTTTGTCCTAATTTGTTTTCTATACCCTTAGATCTTGCTGTAAACCTAATTTCACATGCTATAAAACTTTTACTCTCTGGTGAGATGCCCAACACAGACATAGATGTAACACTTCGCGCCTTACTTAAGCTCCTGCGATTCAAAGAAATAAAAAAAAAAAAAAAAATGGAAGGAAAACCCGTACATTTCAACATCAATCTTTTACATCAATTTATTTCTATTATCAAAAGGAATTTAGTTTTAGATAATTTATTTTCACATCAATAAAACATTAAGACATTTTGTCACAGAGATGTGATGTAAAAAGAGACCATGACAGAGATAAAAAAACTTACTTTTTAAAACTTTGCTGTTTCTGGGCTTTGTCAGAATCCCTGGTTATAACACGCATGAAATCTTCTGTCAAAACAAAGGGCACTCTTTCTCTGTTGATTCCAAACTTCTTTTTCTTATGGTTGAGAAAATGTCCAAAGTCAATATGAAATACCTGTAAAAAAGTTACCCAGATTATTACAGAAATTATATAAATTTGACATTATTTACTAAGTGACTATGAATCATGTATTAAATGACCATTAATGTTTAAAACAAGATACATTTCATTTTTTCCTTTCAATATAATGAGCTCAGAAAACTTCTTGAAAAGCAGGCCCCACTTGTATAAAACATCTCAACTTGAGATTCCCTCAAGTCGAGATTTTCCTCACTGATATCTCCTTGAAAATATTTTTTATGAAAATTCCTCAAGGAATTTCAGGACATCCTAGCCGATGCCTTCCTCCTGTTCCTTGAGAAAATTTCATACAAGCCGTTTTTTGAGGAGATATCAGCTGAGAAAAATCTCGACTTGAGGAAATCTCAAGTTGAGATGTTTTATACAAGTGGGGCCAAACATCCTAAAGTCAAGAGAATGTTTGTAGACCATGCATGTGTCCCCACTTCAGATTTGATGGAAATGGAGCTAAATGCATCATCTAATTTCTAGTTGTGAAATTTTTTTTTTAAACTCAAAAGGACTCAGCGAAAACAATTGATTCCTGAACACAATTTAAATACAAAGAGCAATAAAATTGTGACAGATTGAAGGATGGGGTACCTGTGACATACACCGACAGCCATAGAGTAGCAGAATATATAATCTACTCTCAATCCATGAGAGTTATTTCCCTTACCTGTCCTTCTTCTGTAACCATGATATTCTCGGAGTGACGGTCACCGATTCCAAGTATGAAGGTGGCAACACAGTAGCCAGCACAGGATCTGGTAAAGGTGTCTATTGCCTGGTCATATCTATGATAAATGATAAATTCAATATCGCTTTAGTTGCACTGAACTAGATAGAGCACAGGATCTGGTAAAGGTGTCTATTGCCTGGTCATATCTATGATAAATTCAATATCGCTTTAGTTGCACTGAACTAGATGGAGCACAGGATCTGGTAAAGGTGTCTATTGTCTGGTCATACCTACGATAAATTCAATATCGCTTTAGTTGTACTGAACTAGATACAGCACAGGATCTGGTAAAGGTGTCTATTGCCTGTCATACCTATGATAAATTCAATATCACTTTAGAGTTGCACTGAACTAGATACAGGTATACAGAAATAACTCTGAACTGGAGCATAATTTGATTTATTTCCAAGTAAGAACTAAAAGGTTACGTTGAATCAGTACACCAAAGTGACACCTGGCAGAGTAAATTCTTACTTGTCCTTATTTTTCATGCTGATCCACTTGTGAAGTGCACTTGAGTCAATCTGTATAGCTCCTTTCATACCTCCTTTACCCTGGATCTCCATCAGAGTCTCAGCCTGTCTGACAACCTGTATGACACCCACGTCCTTCCCCGTCGATACACAGCCATATGGAATCAACCTGTAGGAGATTCAAAAGAGGTTTTTATGTATCAGAATTTTGGCTCTTATATCTTTTTACCTATTAAATTGAAATACCTTTTGATTTCAAAACTACGTAAGAATTTTGTCTGAGATAAATCTAGCTTTTAGGCAAAAATGAAAAGGTTTGGTCCTGACATGAGAAAGTTTCATTTTACACTATGCTAAAATACTGACAAAAGCTTTAATCATTTGAAAGGTCTAAGCATTTCCATGTCTGTTACACCAGCATCACCGGCCATATAGACCAAGATTTTGTAAAAGTTTAAATAAAACATGTGAAAATATTTGAAAAAAAAGTTTTTTGCTTTAATTTTACAACCATATTACAAACCACAGAAGTCACTACACCTAACATCTCACCTTGTTACACATAATATCTGCCCTACAAAAGTGATTCAAGCCAAACCAGTGGAAATGAAAGAAATCCTCACATCAAAACAGGAATATCCTGAGACATATATGTCCTAGCTTGCTCCATTGAAAATATTTATAAATAATAATGATCTAGATATTCTCATTCGCGATTCACTCAATTTTTCATTAAGTTTTTAAAAATTAAGTTTTTAAAATATAAAAAAATCTGATGCCCTTACCGCAGATCTAAGCCTGCATCTTTCCATAACACATCCATCACACCCAATAACTGTAGAGTCAGCATGTCCTGTCTAAGATCTGAAACATCCAAAACCATAAAAGGCTTTGTCAAGTGTATGAAGAGAACTTTCAACAACTGCTTATCTTAACAAAATAATGTACATATATCCAGTGTTTATGAACAGTAATGAAAATTGACTGTATGATCACATAGATATCAGATCATTTCAGCATATTATACATATAAAATTAGATGCTTAATTCCAGTTAATTAAGGATGAAAAATTGTTATATGTTTCAGTGGGTGAACTTTTTTTTGTTTGTTTGTATTTGTGTTATATTTGAAGAATTTTAAATATAAAAAACATATCATCATCATCATGACAACATCAATATGATATCATTACTGACATCATCACAATATCAACACATCATCATTGCCATCGTCATCACAAGATCAATTAAAATGAAATATCATACCGTCGCCATGCTTAAAGATGATTTTGTAATTAGGGAACCACACATCAGCCAGTGAGTCAGGGTTGGTCCACACAATCCACAGCGGACGTTTTTTAGATTTCATCACGCGACAGTCATCCAGGCTGAAGGAAAGAAAATTTGTAAAGTATACTAACGTCCTTCCATTACTCTTACACCTCCTTGCTTCCAAAGTGGCACATTACTGTAAATTATACAACATGCTAACATGTCTGATCTACCAACTTTTATATTTTCTTCAATTTAATTTATCTTGAATCTTAAATGAGAAATGTGAATTTACACAAAGATACAATTAATTCATGCAAAATCTAAACAAGAATGAAAAGGCAGTTAGGAAATTGTAGCTTTGTTGGGTATTGTTATCTGAACTTTAACCTTGCATTGGGTACAGAAGAACAGTTGTGACAGTTGCTCAAACATGATTCCTGCTGGTAACAAATTAAAACCCATCCTCTTGAACCATAAACATTTTTTTTAGAAAATCTCATCTTCTATGAGAAAGTTTAAAGGTTAAGCCAGGACTTACTTGATGTCGCCCAGCCGATGACTGTTGTTGAGGGGAGACATAAAGTTGGTGAGAGCCTCTTGGTAGTCTGGCTGTCGTAGATGTTCCTGGAGGACACGCAGGTGATCGTCCTGGAGACAAATACAGGTATAAAATAGCTAATGGGAATCATTTAAAGTTTCTTGATCAATTAGCGACTATATCTTTTTAGAAATAACTTGAAATAATAACACATCATTCTATTCTACATTTTTTTTTTAAATGTTGCTTTGCTGTTGTTGTCATTACTGCACATTTTCCCTCAATAGACCTATTTAGCAATATGAATCTGCATTTTGTTATTACTATTAAACTTTTTTTTAATTTACAACAGCAACAAATAATTTCAACTTATGTGAATTACTTATTTTGGGCTGTAAAGAGGCACCAATAGATCTTACTATGGGAGGAAAGAAGAGCACCTGGGTAAAATCCCTGTGGTTGGACAGGTGCCCCATTCCTTTTTATGTCTGATTTCATAATTTACCCAGATGTCTAGGTGAAAGGCGAATTTGTAAAACCACTGCCCCATCTGACCATCTATATTGTTAATAGGTCATTCAAAATATATTATGAGACTATGTAAATTATATCATGTATTTTTCTTACCTCACGCACGTCACTTTTCAACATGTCTGTGAGTTTGGTTAGTTTGTCTAGAGCCTCCACTTGACGTGATAACATGCGCAGGTAAGGGCCGCAACCACGACAAAATGCCTCCAGTATTAATCCGAACCTAAGTCTAATGTTGGTGTGGTGCATTTCTGACCTGTACAAGAATGGTGAGAAAACAGAAATACAAACTGCCCTCAGCAGCGATCATTGAACCACGAACCTTGAATCACTATGGTAACTGACATAATTCAGGCCAGCAGACCATGAAGCAATCTTAGACTAATAAACTCTGTCCTTGAAAATCGTTCTAATATTTGTGACACATCTACACAACAGTACATACAAACACATGTAAAATTGAATCTATATGCCGAAAAAAATCAGACATCGTCAACATTTTGGATTTTATTTCCAATTCTCTCTGCCATAAAAAGACGAAATAAAAATGCTTACTTGAGCAGCCAGAAGAAGTATTGCCCTATACGCTGGTTCAGGAGAGATTTCTTCAATAGGAACCTAGCTATAGGACTGTCTAGGTAGGGTTCAAACTTCAATGCCTGCGGTCAAAGAAAGATGGCATGATTATACATACAAATGTGGCTTGATGTTTCACAATTATCTATCACCCTGAGTATGAAACTACAAGTACTGTCACATAATGTTAAATGAGAGGCACTTTTTAAAACCCACCAATCAAATATTGAAACTGATTCTATATAAGGAATATTTGGCAAGTGTATATTTCAACCAACCACCCATAACATTTTATGCAAATGCCTCCCAAATCCCTTCCATAATGTAACAACCCTACATACAGACTCTTATAAAGTTTTCATTTCATGTGGGAATAGTGAAAAAAAATGTTTATTTTAGACAGCATTCGGCAACCTTCAATGAAAATTCTGAGAAATGTATTCTGAATTTTATCAAAAGGAAACAAATTTATCATCCATTTATTGAATTGATACAATCATTTAGTACATATTGCATTACATGTTTTTACTAGTTATAATTTAAGCTACATTGACTCTAGATCTACTGTTATCATTGTCCAGCTATATCTTGACCTCCATCATTGCCAAGCTATATCTTGACCTCTTCATCATTGTCCAGCTATATCCTGACCTTTCAGAGGATGTTCGGTTGTATGTTTACCTGTACAAGCTGTAAAAGAAATTGTTGTAGTTTGTCATCTGTGAGACCCATTTCAAAACAAGTGACAGCGAATCTTCGCAGTTGTTGGTCGGGGAAAGAACAGTCGAGAAGCTCCAGTGCTACCTCTGGCTTCAGCTGTGGCCATTTCTTCAGAAGCATGTACAGCTGTGAAACAAAACAGTATAATTAACATCACAGACAACTACCAACAGGAGAAAGGTAGAACTCTGTTAGTGCTGTTGATAGTTATAAAAGTGACAGCTCTGAATGTACTCTGCTATAGCAGCACTTTAAATTAAGGGTCTGATAGTTGTGTTATGCTATATGTATCGTACCTGGGCAACCTGTTCTCTGTCATTCCACTTGGTGGCCGACACCAGTTTGGGGAGAGAGTGTGGGTGTTGTAAACAGTACTCTCTACAAGGAAACATAAACAGTTACACATGGGAACAGAGCATATCATATCAAAACAGACTACTGTAAAAAAATGTTGATTGTGTTGCTTCAGATGGAGAAGCAACACTTTGTCTCACTTTGTGGTGATATAGATAAAAGATACAGTACAATATTACCCTGGTATATGTAATACTGACCACGACATGTTTGTGGTAGTGGTGTCTCATCAGTTAACTGAACTAAATTAAAAAACCAAGGAAAAAGAAACAACACTTGATCATTTCATTAAAATCATTATAAAGCACCTTCACTTTATCATATAAACGTCTATTAGCAATATGTATAGTATGACATACTTGTATTTAAAATAATAGCATAATCCCAGATTTTAACAATGTCATTTCTTACCTCCTTTTCCATAAGATTTCTTTCTCTTGGTCGTATATTTCTGAGAGAGGATCACGCTTGATGATGTCATTTACCAGTTCCTCTTCCTTTTTTCTGCTCTGTGTGGTTTCCTACATTATAATAGTTATTGAGATTTGTAAGTACAAATATTCATGTATAAAAGAATCTATAAATCCAGGCCATGATTAATTCCTTAAATTAATATTTCAAAATTCTACCATGTATGTTTGTTGAGTTATTATTGATGAAATTACAGAATACACATAGGTAGGATCTTACATTGGTTTTCATTTGATATTTAATTTATAAAAATAAATCAATTTTTAGATTTTATTTTTATGTCAGTTTATCAATCTTACATCAGTTTATCAATCTTACTTCAGTTTATCAATCTTACACCAGTTTATCAATCTTATGTCAGTTAATCAATCTTACGCCAGTTTATCAATCTTACGCCAGTTTATCAATCTTATGTCAGTTTATCAATCTTACGCCAGTTTATCAATCTTATGTCAGTTTATCAATCTTATGTCAGTTTATCAATCTTATAACAGTTTATCAATCTTACATCAGTTTATCAATCTTACGTCAGTTTATCAATCTTACTTCAGTTTATCAATCTTACTTCAGTTTATCAATCTTACGTCAGTTTATCAATCTTACGTCAGTTTATCAATCTTACACCAGTTTATCAATCTTACGTCAGTTTATCAATCTTACTTCAGTTTATCAATCTTACGTCAGTTTATCAATCTTATGTCAGTTTATCAATCTTACTTCAGTTATCAATCTTATGTCAGTTTATCAATATTACGTCAGTTTATCAATCTTACGTCAGTTTATCAATCTTATGTCAGTTTATCAATCTTAAGTCAATTTATCAATCTTATGTCAGTTTATCAATCTTATGTCAGTTTATCAATCTTAAGTCAGTTTATCAATCTTATGTCAGTTTATCAATCTTACGTCAGTTTATCAATCTTACGTCAGTTTATCAATCTTATGTCAGTTTATCAATCTTACATCAGTTTATCAATCTTATGTCAGTTTATCAATCTTAAGTCAGTTTATCAATCTTATGTCAGTTTATCAATCTTAAGTCAGTTTATCAATCTTATGTCAGTTTATCAATCTTAAGTCAGTTTATCAATCTTAGTCAGTTTATCAATCTTATGTCAGTTTATCAATCTTACATCAGTTTATCAATCTTAAGTCAGTTTATCAATCTTATGTCAGTTTATCAATCTTATGTCAGTTTATCAATCTTAAGTCAGTTTATCAATCTTAAGTCAGTTTATCAATCTTAGTCAGTTTATCAATCTTATGTCAGTTTATCAATCTTATGTCAGTTTATCAATCTTATGTCAGTTTATCAATCTACTGATTTCATGACTGCTGGAAAAGCATCAAAATTAAGTGATAAATAGAATCTTACACTTGTGTGGATTATTATGAGACATCTATGGGTAAGGATATGAGATATCTATAGGAAAGGGCTGACATAGTTCAAAATCTGGTTATATAAAGCTTAGTGCTCTAACATGAAAGACATAGGAAATTGTCATGTTATATTGTGTATTGACTCATCAGTAATAGTAACATCAGAAAGGATGTCACATGAAATATCAAAAAGGTGTTGATTTCAAGTATTCAGAAGTATTATTTATCCTTGGATTGGCTGTGAGATTGACAGAAGAACCTATATCAGTTATCTAAGAAGATTTGAAACACAATGTGATATCATAGTAAAAACATGTTGTAAAGTGTTCAAATAGGATTTCTCAACCTTTGGCAAAACTTTGTACGAGATTGGAAAACTAATTCTGCAGCAAGCTTGTCACATGATTATGTAATAAAAAAGACACTTCATGCCTTCCCATGCTCTAATAGTCAAAATATAACTATCAGCACCTCTGGTCAATCGTGTCTAAGTACAGCACTGGAAGACATGAAATATCTGTTTAATAAAACTGACCTTATTTTCCTTTGTTTTTTTTCAGGACCAGAACGATGCTACAGATAATCACATGTATTGATATAATAGAATTTCAAAATTTCTAAGATTATTACCAGGTAATTTGGTTTAATTAATGCCTATTTAACTAATCTAATACACAATAACATTAATAATTTAGCAGAATTCTACTAAATACAGAGTGGTCTGTGTGCGATCTTACCAGATATTGTGACCTTCTCTCTCGTGATAAAGCCATGTGTGCAAGCTCCTCAAAGTGAGACTCAGGTGGGTAGGACACTGGGTAGCTGAACTTGTCAAACTCTATCTCTATACAGGGCGTCTCCTTGTCAGGGTTGGAGCCTGAAACATCACCAGTTGGTACTGTTAGGGACTTTAATAGAACAACATCAGGTTTATATGTCTGACTATACTTAATGTTTTAACTGTAGACCAATCAAACAAGAGTATCAGTGAAACTGATGAATGCTTCCCGATAACAACTTTATTGGACACAAAATTTTAACAAAGGGCAATAATCATGAAATTAAGGGTTTGCAGGCCCTGAATTTAGTATACTGCACATTCTCTTAGTGTAACCAGTATATACACCAAGATTCATGCTTCTGGTTTTAATGCAAACAAAGCTTTGCCCCAGACACAAAAATATTAACTAAGGGCTATAACTCTTTTACTGAGGGGTCATGACCCTGACTTTGCAAATATGTACCTTGCTTTTATCTGACTGGTGTATACATCACTTTCCAATATCCTTGTTTAAATAAAGGCAAAGTATTGCTCCAGACACAAAATTTTAACAAAGGGCAATAACTCTATTTAAATGGTCTTTTATGTCATGTGACTAAAACTGTTTACAATCATTTGATTGAGACACTAAAGACCTAACTAGAATGCTAAATCATGTGATGTGATCAGTATAATCATATGACAATGAGCATGTAGTCACATGGGCAATAGACAAAAGGTGAAAGTTCAGCACTTACCGGGAATACCAATGGGGTTAAGTGTATCATCCATCCCCTGTGGCATGGCCCAGAGGTTGAGGCTGACTTTCTCATTCAACAGACGATCATTAAAGTCAAACATCTGTAGGTTACCCCATGCCAATGGATAACTGATCACCTTAAGAAATATTATATGTATACTGTTATTGTTAACATCAATATTTAGTGGCAGAAAGAGAGAAAATAGATTGTTCCACTTAATTAACATATTTAATTTGTTTGAAACAGAATGGTTCAATTCACAGATTGATTGTATTGGTAATATCTCAGACCCCACTTGTATAAAACATCTCAACTTGAGATTTCCTCAAGTCAAGATTTTCCTCAGCTAATATCTCCTTGAAAATATCTTGTATGAAAATTCCTCAAGGAATTTCAGGACATCCTAGCCGATGCCTTCCTCTTGTTCCTTGAGAAAATTTTATACAAGCCATTTTTGAGGAGATATCAACTGAGGAAAATCTCGGCTTGAGGAAATCTCAAGTTGAGATGTTTTATACAAGTGGGGTCTGAGATATTACCAATACAATCAATCTGTGAATTGAACCATTCTGTTTCAAACAAATTAAATATGTTAATTAAGTGGAACAATCTATTTTATATATATTTTAGCAGAATCACTTAATTGAATAACACAAATTACATCAACAGGTAAGCTTAAATTTTCAGATTTCCGGTCTGATTGGTGAACTTATACAATGACTGATCTGTACCTTCCTATTTTTGCGTTTAGAGACACAGCAGATGGAGAGACAGAGTCGAGCTGAGCGAGGAATGTCTGGAATGTACAGAAACTCAAGCCATTCATTCCAGCGAGGGTTATTGGACTCCACAAGCTTTGTGTCCTGAGGTTCACACAATGCTTCTGTACCATGAAACACACCGGCTCGTACAAATATCTGTAACAAACAATAATCATACTCAATAAATCTTCGTTCTATCTTGTAAGGAAAGTAGTATAATTAATCTGTACATCTGTTCTCTGGTACAATGCACAAACAGTTTTAAACTTGCTAATGCCAAAGTGTGCATTTTTACATGTTCTCTTAATTGTTCTACATTAAAATAAAAAAAAATTATCACCCATTTCTACTTTTAATACAATTTTATATATCTAATAGACATGAAGAGTTTTACCTTGCATGACTCCTTAACATTGACGTAAGTGGCACATAAAATCCTGATGCGGAGATTGGCCTGGATCTCCCAAAGACTGATTGTCTGTTTGTTGTTGATGTCCAGCAATGCCTGCAGACCTGTTACAGAAAAAATAGATTATCATCAGCGATGATTTATAGACCATGTCTAAAAATGTCTTCAGTGATAAAAAATATATTTCACAAGTACAGTTAATATATTGGTATCTTTCATGAGTGTGCAACACAAGTAAAGTTATTAAAATATTAGACAAAAAAGTGAAAACACTATCAGATATTCTGTTAATCACATTTCTGTAACTGTGCGTCTGCCTTTTTCACAGGATCATTTTATAAGACGATCTATTTGAATTAATAGTTCCTGTCCTCATATACCTGTGATTTACCTGAGGTTTTTTGTGAAAGTTGTCAAAATGAAGTGATATTAAGCGTTGCCCACATGAAAATAAGTGACATTATCAGATGTTGGATAACATAGAATATAAAGGTGAAAAAATCTGTTTCAAGAAAAATATGATATTAACCAGAAAGTGACATTAACAGACATGACATAAATTGGGTTCCACTGTATTGCCAAATACCAAGGGTCAACTGCACAGAGTACATGAAATAATCTTTCGGTAAAAATGTTGAAAAAAAAAGACAATATAATACACTAATGAATTCAGATCCAATAGAGAATAGGTGTTTGTGCAATAGTCTATACATTGATCTTTTCATGAGACAGGTGTTACATGTTGTCATTAGTGATAATCACTGAAGCATGTACAAATCTGTAGCTTTACAAATCATTTGAAAAATTATTGATATAATTTTGTCTATATAAACACAATTTTTACCACACATAGTTTAATTACATAACATTATCATATAACAAAATTGTATCTTGCTGAAACAAGGAAGAAAATCACCACAAACTCACCCCTCTGAGCATATGATGGCATTGTGAAGTAATTATCTGGAAGAGCTGCATATATTCCTTCCCGCGTCAGCAACATAAACTGTGGTATTTTATCAATTCCAATACACTCTCGAACATACTGTAAACAGAAAGTGGAAAATATGATCTATTTACTTCAAACTATCAAAAGCAAGCATTAACTTCCTGTAACATGACCTGTTGCATATTTCCCCCTCTGTCATGACTAATGCTCATTAAAGTGATTTAACACTGGGGAGGATTTCAGGTCTGAAAAACAGGCTGGCATACCTATAAAGATTTTGAAAAATGAACTTGACACTAGGTGGGAACCATGACATTTATCTATAAAGATGAAACTTTAGACTTAACCCTATACAGATGAAACTAAAGGCTAACCCCCTGGTAAGCTTTATACTAAACCCTATATAGATGAAACTTAAGGCTACATTAGACTAAACCCTATACAGATGAAACTAAAGGCTAACCCCCTGGTAAGCTTTATACTAAACCCTATATAGATGAAACTTAAGGCTAACCCCCTGGTAAGCCCCCTGGTAAACTTTAGACTAAACCCTATATAGATGAAACTTAAGGCTAACCCCCTGGTAAGCCCCCTGGTAAACATTAGACTAAACCCTATACAGATGAAACTAAAGGCTAACCCCCTGGTAAGCTTTATACTAAACCCTATATAGATGAAACTTAAGGCTAACCCCCTGGTAAGCCCCCTGTTAAACTTTAGACTAAACCCTATACAGATGAAACTTAAGGCTAACCCCCTGGTAAACTTTAGACTAAACCCTATATAGATGAAACTTAAGGCTAACCCCCTGGTAAGCCATTTTTTCACATTAAAAACAGATGTCATCAACATGATCCAGATGTTCGACTACCCCAAGATATCAAATTTCATTAAAATCAGATAATATTTCAAGTACTTGCACATCTACAGGAGATTGGTTTTATTTATTCAATGTTTGATGAAGATCTAACTTACAGTTTTGATGAAAAGTATAGAAATATTAATGGCAGAGTGGGGAAGAAGAAAGAAATAAAGAACTGGTGAAAAATCAATAACAGCTGAAATATGATTTAGTAAGTTGTAATTCATAGTGTATATATATATATACAATAAACAAAATATCATATTAAAAATCAATATCAGAAACAGATAATGATTGCCTAGCATGCTATCAGTGTGTATCCATCAATAGGGACATCCCCAACTATTTCCATGTTTAACAGCTTGTTCTGGTTTGTAACATAAATAATCTGGTATACAAAATCAAATGTAAGAATCCAAACAAATACATGTAACTTTTTGTTTATTTTACAATAGAAGAAGATATTATATTTATATAAATCACTTGTGTTAGTTAGATGTATGCATACCTTGAGAGCATATGTTGTACTGCTGACATCAATACATGTATCACTGTGTGTATTACCTGTGTGTGTATTACCTGTGTGTGTTACCTGTGTGTGTGTTACCTGTGTGTGTGTAACCTGTGTGTGTGTTATCTCTGTGTGCGAGTTACCTCTGTGTGTGTTACCTGTGTGTTTGTTACCTCTGTGTGTGTTACCTATGTGTTTGTTACCTCTGTGTGTTACCTGTGTGTGTTACCTGTGTGTGTGTTACCTCTGTGTGTGTATTACTTCTATGTGTGTTACCTGTGTGTATGTTACCTCTGTGTGTTACCTGTGTGTGTGTTACCTCTGTGTGTGTGTTACCTCAGTGTGTTACCTCAGTGTGTGTTACCTCTGTGTGTGTTACTTCTGTGTGTGTGTTACCTCTGTATGTGTTACCTCTGTGTGTGTGTTACCTCTGTGTGTGTGTTACCTCAGTGTGTGTTACCTCTATGTGTGTGTTACCTCTGTGTGTGTTACCTGTGTGTGTGTTACCTCTGTGTGTTTACCTCTGTGTGTGTATTACCTCTGTGTGTTTACCTCTGTGTGTGTGTTACCTCTGTGTGTGTTACCTCTGTGTATTACCTCTGTGTGTGTTACCTCTGTGTGTGTGTTACCTCTGTGTGTGTGTTACCTCTGTGTGTGTTACCTCTGTGTGTATTACCTCTCTGTCTGTGTTACCTCTGTGTGTGTTACTTCTGTATGTTACCTGTGTGTTTACCTCTGTGTGTGTTACCTCTCCGTGTGTTACCTCTGTGTGTGTGTTACCTCTGTGTGTGTGTTACCTCTGTGAGTGTGTTACCTCTGTGTGTGTGTTACCTCTGTGTGTGTTACCTCTGTGTGTGTTATCTCTGTGTGTATTACCTCTCTGTCTGTGTTACCTCTGTGTGTGTTACCTCTGTATGTTACCTGTGTGTTTTACCTCTCTGTGTGTAACCCCTCTTCTTACCTTATACTGACTGATTGGGAACTCTTGTAATAAGAACTGGTCAGATCCACACACTTTGAGAGCGTATGCTGTACTGTAGACATCAATACACCTCTCAGCGTGTTCCTTTGTGATTCCCATCATACGACTACGACGTCTTATTGTCTCTGCTATCACTGTTATAGGCGTGGCCTTGTGGGATACTTTCACACTGAACTTTGTCCTGTTCCCATCGTCAGCTACCACCCATATGCACACCACTATGAAATTATCTGTCACAAAAAAATATAGCAACATTTTACACTATACAAAGTGTTACATAGTTTAGAGTTGGGTAACATGATGTTACTTTCTACACAGTAACAACTAGATACTATATACACTGTAATTGTATAAACTTTAGTATCATAAGATGGCATTACATATTCACAAATTAGTAACAAAATATTACACTGTAAAATGTATAGAAACATATAGTGTTACATATAGGTATGATGTTATTGTTTCCTAGAAGCCTCAAACTGGATTAGCAATTTACCTAGGAAAAGTTACATTAAGGAGATCACATATTGTACAGTTAAAATACATGATATAAGATCAGTAAATACCTAAGACATCATAATGAAGTTGAAAAATAATTAATTCATTCATTTTAGGAATTACCTGGATCCTTTACCAAAAGTAGACCAGATTTTCTATAAAACATTTTTATATGTGTTATTATTTTACAATAATTATGTTATAGTTACCGTATGAAGAGAGTTTATCCTGCAGGTGTTTTGGAAGATTGGATGTGGATTCCACATTGGGAGGGTAGGCATACATAGCCAGACTCTCCTTCCCCGCTGACTCTCGAAGGTCCACACTCTCCTTACACACATCCAATATGTTTCTACGAAACGTCACAATTTCTAGATCTTTCATTTCATTAAAGTCATTTGTAGGTATTCCAATCGTCATACCTGTAAATATCAAACACGTCATCTGGTTTCATAAATGTCTTCATGATCATCACTATATTGTACTCAAATATACAAAATATTTTGATATAAGCTCAGGAAGTGCTATGTACATAAATTTGAATAGAGTTAAAGGGAGGTAGGTAAGTGGGACGTTAACTATGAATAGGTGAAAATATGAAAAAACTACACATAACAAAAATAAAGGGACTGAACAAGGAGCTAGATGACTTGTAGTTGATAGATCTGCATAGTCTTCTGTAAGCATTAGTTCTGCATAATGATTATGATATATTTTCAGTCTTAAAGTAATGTTTGTTCAGATCTTGATTTTAAGTAACTTTTCAAGTTTCAGAAATATTTCTTACAAACTTGGAAAAATACTCTAAAACAATCCAAAATAATCTGAATTTAAGGAATTTATTTTTAATCATACTTTTCTTCAGTCCAAAATTTTTTTTTTCAGGAAAAACGGACACTTGTGAGGTACAATTTTCATATTCTTAAGGAAAGACCTAAGTCATGATGATTTTAATATTATTGAATCCAAAAGGTTATTGATCATCTTAATATCCTGTATGGTTGACTATTTTTCGTTGATCTATGAAAATGAAATGTTTACCAATTTCATAATTCAGCATTTTCTCTTCACGGTTTCCTTTTGGTTCAACAACCTTGAGAACAGGTAAAAAAAGTCGTAGGTCACACAAACGACGTGTCTCATCGTAAAACTCCTCCTTCTCTGCATCTTGTGTAATACTGACAAAAATATACGATGCTGAGTCTAACAATAAATGAGAAAGAGGGAATTTCTTTGCCTCAAGCCACACATTTGCCTTGATAGACTCAAGTGTGGCATCACGGTTCACATAAAGCTGAACGAGGATGCCGTTGGGTAGAAGACAATCCACCAGGACTTGCTGGGGCATCAAGTGATGCCCCCACAGCTCACCTGAACTTGGCGGCATGTTTCAGGTCTTCTAGAATACTTCTTTGTATAAATACTTCCTGTAAGAATACAAAAATTAACAGCTAAATTTAAAATATCAAATGTATGATTAAAAAGATCATATTATTGAAAGTAAAATTAACCTTAAGGAAAATGATTTCATTATTTTTTTTCTATATTTTAAAAGGATAACACATTATATTTACCAAAATATAAAACCACTTGAGGTAGGTATAAGACTTCTACCTGATGTCCCTGTTACAAAATACTGCCTCCCTTTTGGCCCTTACTTGAGTATTTTACTTGTGAGTAAGGCTTTAAGTTCTGTCTCCTTGCCAAACATACCAACATATGTAAGTGTATTGAAAAAAAGGAAGTTATTTAATTACAACTCTCTGCTAAACTTTCAGCATTACAATAGTGTGACAACTGGTTTACTCATGTTCAGTATAATGTGTCCGGGTGTTGTGTTTTGCTGGTGACTTTCAATTACACTTCATGTGGTAACACTACCGAGTCAGGTTCTGTTCCCCACTACCATAAGGGTAGTAATATGAACATATGGCAGCCCAGAAACACACACTCAAAATATGCACTCACCTTGCATACACAGAGAGGTCGTCCATAAATGACCCTTGCTATTGATAGGATGTTGAACAATATATGCCAAACCAAACGTATGGATTACTTGCATTAATTAAATCTAGATGGAAATACTATATGAAAGGAGAGTTTAAATTGGACAAGTAAAAGTCAGGCTGCTTCCTGATTTAAATGTATAATTTATCAATGTGAAAATCTGTATCGGAGACAGATACCCATACTATAGTCCTGCTATGCACAACTGCACACCTGCATATCAATCCTCCATATTAGCTAATTTTAGCAATGAATTATAAGGAAAACTTTTTGATAATGTCTGTGATAAAAGATCAGTTCAAAATCAGATTTAAGGCAATGGTGATTTGGTTAAAAATGGAATTTCGTTAAATTGAAAGTATGTTTACATTGTAAGGACAAACTGGTTTTGTTAACTACAATGTCAAAATCTCCCCCATGGAAATAAGCTGGTCTCAAGTTGTCATTCATCACAGTAATTTTTAAAGTAATATTGACTCCACCAATAAACAAGCCAGGTTTTAGTACAGGGCTCTCGATCTTGGCCCCATTCCCAATGCAAAATACCTTCTTTTTTTCCCAATTTAGACCCCAAGTTTTCCCAATTCTAAGGAAAATATCATTATTTTTTCCAATTCTAAGGGCCCTGGGCCCCAGTCGCAAAATGGGGTGTGAGAGCCCTGTAGTATACAACACTGAAGTGTCCTACTATTATTAGTAACAGTATATATGTATGTGTTCCTTCTTCAATTAAAAAAAAAGACAATAGATGAACCTTTATGCTACATTTGTCTCTAACTAAATAAACACATGCAAAAAATATTTACTAAGTAAGACAGGAAAAAAAATAAAAGTATGTTTTATCTATAGATATTTTCTCTTATTTTATGTAAAAAACATAAAATCCTTTTCTTTTGCTGTCCAGTATTTTTGCTCATTTTTTACACAGAAATATCACATTGCTATATGTGAACCAACTCAACACTTAACTTCTAGTATTGAATCTGACAATGCCCAATGTAATTACATTTACATGTAATAAATGTAAACTCTGATAACAGGTACACAACAGGTGACAACATATAATTGATGGTCTGTTTCATATCAATATCATATCAGCTATTATTTGATGAGCTTAAATTGAGATAAAATCATTCTGATTCCAACAACAATTTCAGATAAAATTTCTTTCCTATGTAATAAAAAGATACAGATGGCAACATGATATACTTGTGTGGTCCTCAAACTCTTGCTTTTCTCATTTCTCTTTGTACATAGGCTTTTATATATATCCTGCTACTGGCATTGCATTGTCAGAATACACATATATTGCTGTATTTGGCAGTGACTGAAAACAGATGTATTTCAGCATATGCCATAATTCAACAGAATGACTTTCTGAATTTACTTAAAAATTGTGTTTAACAATATAAAATATGTTGAAATAAATTATGTTATGTGTTGTAACGAAGAAGTTTTTTAATACAAAAATTCATAAAATCTTTGTCATATCTGTTGAAGTTTGAAACTATGTTTCTGTATGAAGCAGTTATTCTGGTGTTCATCATCAGGCAAAATTCAGTGCATAGTGAACGTTAGGAAGACCAAGATTGGATAACAAAATTGGTTGAAGTTTTCATGCACTAATTTTCAGTGTTACAAGATAAATAGAATACACGGTCAGTGTCTTAAAATATAAACTGTGTTTTGGCTTGGAACAGAAAGCTGCTCACTACTGTTGTCTTTCTTCACCCTTGCCAAAATACAGCATATATTTGAAGACATTGACCATGCATTCTCTCTCCCTATCTCTCTCTCTATATATATATATAGCTAGAACATATATTCCTAACAGAGGAAGTTTTAGAGGCTAATACTAAAGTGACAAAAATGGCTTTAATACGACAATAACATAGCATAGTGCTGTATTAATACAATTGTACCTAACCAGCTGTTCTATAAAACTTTTACATAACTGGCCGAAATTTTAACATAACTTAACCAAAATTCCGTGTTCCTGGCATCATTTGTCAACAATATTTTGAATTTCGTTCAAACTGTGTAAACTTACACATTGTAACACGCCATACCTCCGGACACATTCGAAAAGAGTTTGATACACATTCTCAGCAAAGACCACTGCGATGTTTTTGTAGAACACGTCATTTCTACTTAATGCACAAATTCAATAAATTAACAATTTACACGTGCGTTTATTGTAACGCTGAATGGGAATCAGCTGGTCTGCTGATTGAAGAAAAGAATTCGCTCATTTTAGAATTAACTTACCTATCTATATTACCTACATTTCGAGTGAAAACTCCACGCTTTGTTGTCGATTGTACCTGTCTATAGACACGGTACACCTAATATCCTCAAAATGTGACCCATCCTGTTGTTTTTCACACAAAATTTACACAAACAACCACGAAGTTGTTTTGTTCAAAACACGGAAGTGACGAGTTATCGACTCGCATTTGTACGGTGGCCTTCACATGCCAGCGTATAAGACTCATTCCACATAAGAGTTTTCTCCCTCGGTTCTTAACTCGACGTAAAATCCTTCATTACAGTGGTTATACATAGGACCTAGCGATCTCCAAGATTATAATCAATGATTGAAATTGTTATAAGATTGAAGTTCGAAACATTATTTTACGGACGTACATACTAACAGAGACTGAAGCACTTAATCCCGGTAGTGACATCTCCGATGTTTGGCTTGTTGTTTGTAAACTGCACAAGGCATGAAGTCACGGCAATGCTCTCTAGATCTCTAACCAGTGACGAAGACACGTACGTTGCAAGTCGATATAGATAAATCTGTGCAAAGACTCATTAAAGATGGAAATAAAGACAGCATCTTATATCATATCGGGCATTGTTATAAAAATAAATGTTTTTCGTTTGAAGATTATCAAAAGTCCAAAAGCGATTTTTGTTGCTAAAATTCATTCACAAAATCACTATGCTTTTTACCATAATTTATTAAGAAATGTGCTTGAAACAGCAAGACTAGTTAAGCCTAACTCAAATGTATTTGTTGTTGGTTTACAAAAGTCTTCCATTTCTTCAACCACCCACACTCCTTATGATAAACAAGTATGTAATCTCAGCGACTCCGTGCGTCAGGAACGACAACTCGTGTATTGTGACTGCGAGGAACGTTCAAACCTGGTAGAGATTTATGTCTCTAGGCTACCGTAGACAATCGTTACACCTTAATTAAGGAATTAACTATGGTGATATAAAATGCATTTTACACAAGTCTAACACATTTAAGAAAATGCGTTTGGACAAAGAAATCCATTGGAATCTTGAGATCAAAATGCAAATAATTATGTTGCATTGAGTGCATCTGGAAAAATCGTGTGTTCATAGAAATTATACCGTGAATTTACTTGTCCGGATGCCATCCAAAATGTGTGTGTTAAATTTCCTTTTCTGAAACGTAAAATAGAAATCAATGTTTGGAAATAAGTTTTTTTAAATGTTTCTATAATACTTTCTGCAATGTTTTACCGAATTACTTTAAACATGAAAAGAACATGGTTTTTCTCCGTGGAATTAAATAGGTAGGGCTAAATCTTGCTAGTCACCCGGCATTAGCATGGCGAACAGAGAAAGGTGAACTGTCGGCGAAACGTCAAAGAGAAACGGTAGCTTATAACCTGCTACATGAAACATTATTTTTTGCATACTTGAAGAACTCGATGTCGTCGACGTATTCAGGTAAAAATAATAAGGTTGTCACCAATGTAGATGTTTTCCTTAATACAAAATAAATCCCTATTTTTTATGGCTGCAGCGAAGCGGTCGCCAGACAGATCACAGACAGGCTTGTCTGAATCACTCGTCTGTCGGTGTCATGTTGACATTTTAATTGGCACTCTGAACGATGCTCGACGTACTCAACTCTTTCTTGTTAAGTAGCTGCATTCGTTGTATGGACTGATAAATTACAGTGATTGATATTTTGTAATATCTTTCAAATTTCTGACATGACGATAGCATATGTATATATATTTATAGGTACATGTAAGCCAAATGATAGGATGTCAATCGTAACAATATAGAACCAGCCATGTAGTTGGAGAGAAATCCTCTTGAAGCTGGACAAACGTCAAGTGTGGGATAGAAGCATACTAGCATGAAAGTTCTTCTTAATCCACTTCCTAACCCACAGGTGCTCTCCTGTGTTTGCTACCATGAAAGATAAAATCTGTCTTTCACTTGGGAAACGATTGCCCTCTCAAAATTTGCAACATTGTGTAGTACAACCACATCACATTTGGATGCCATCATCAATTTTCATAAGTATTTTACATCCCATTTATCATAGCACAATATATGTACAGTTCTTATCAACAGCACTTGTTGTGATTGAAAAGTGTAGGACTAATAGAATCTTTCACCCCTTTTGGGTGAGATAGGTGATCTCAAATGGAGGAGAAAGATTATTAAGTTGTCAAACACAAGATTTCCAAGTGTTTGACAACTTAGAAATTCTCCCCCATGGATTGAGATTGTATGAATGATAATTTTCTCTTATCCTGTTTTCCTGGTCTGAGTGCAAGACGAAGTGTATGGTGTGTAAAAGATATCACATGGATAGCATATAAAAGTGACAATGCCTGTACCTCAGATGCTTCACATTTTTTATTTAATTTTACACGAAATAGAGTTGTAGTGTGTATGCCAATAAAATGTTAAATGAAATAAATTTTTATATATGTTTTAGAATAGATTATAGAATAGTTAACTCCTTGTTACCAAACAGCTATTACAATCTCGTAGAAAAGTTGTAAAAGTTGTCCTGATGACAGCCGCCCAGCTGTGAAGCGTGTCAGTGATACTGTCACTGTAATAAACGTAAAACTTCTCTTTGATCTTGAAATTCTTTTACTATATCTACATATTTTTTTAAATAAAAGTTGTGGATAGATTAAGATAAGTTTTAGGTCTTGATGATAAATGGGATTTTTAGTTTTGAGGATAAAATCATTTCAGTAGCAGACAAGTTAATGAATGTGCATCACCTCATAAAAGTAGTTCCATTTTTGGGTCATGTCAGTGATGTCACTTAAATTGTTTTCAGTATGTGCAAATAGCATGTGTAGCTTGTCTCAACCCTAGGCTGAAACAAGGAAAGCTTTTACTGGTAAAAAGCATGGATCTATATCTGTCCAGGGTAAAAGAAAAAATATCCATTACCAGTGTGTTATGTTGAAAAAGTTATGCTAACCTTAAAACTTAATTAATACACAGATATATTAATTTCCACATTTCAATTAATGAAATTTCCATATATTCATCATAACTACTCATTTCATGTCAAATTTTTATTCATTCCATCTCTGTTGTCCATGACTTTCTAAAATTCAAAATTTCCCACAACCATTTTATAGAGAGGCGTGTAACATTAACATGAAAATTGTGTTACAGCTGAATACCAGCCCTATTTCAATCAGGGCACTGGACAGCGTACGTCCTCCACAGCTGTAACTTCCAGCAACTCGACGACGGGCAGCTATTCAGGTGATGCTAAAGGTAGCTACCAGCACACGGCAACAAGTATTGGTCAAGTGCAGACTCAGGGCAGCTCCAACTACAGCCGACAGTCGACATGTGGTTATCAACAGAACTCTGCACCTGGCACTGGAAATCGTACGCCAACTCAAGGGACAGAACACTATAGTCAACAGACAAATAGCACAGACACATATGATTACAACCATACCGGATACCAACAAACAACTACAGGGTATGACAACAGCTACGCAACTTATACTTCCAACACAGGATATGATTCTTCTGGTACTAACTCTGCTTATGATAATACCTATGACGGTTCTGGGTTTCAAAGCAGTTGTGGTGCTTTGAGTACAGAAAGCACTGTGACAGTCTATGGTACAGGATCGTATGTTGATGGGGAGTCTTCCTGTTGTAACTCTAGCAACTACAATAATGATAGCTCTGGTTATAACAGTTATAGCTCCAGTATGTCTGGCTATAGTAATTCTGCTTATAACAACTTATCCACTGGTGGTTATGAAAAAGGTCCTTCGCATTACACCAACAGCACAGAAAGTGGCAGTAATAACAACTACAGCTCCAATGGTGGATTCGTTAACCATGGAAACAGTAACTATGGTAACAGCCGTGTAAACAATAGCTGCAGCAATAGTTACAATGAATCTGGTTCTTATGACAACCAAGTTGGAGGCTATGATGGCTACAGTTATTATGACAACAGCTCCCAGAACTACGATGTTAGTTCAAGTAATAGTAGCTATGACAACAGCTACAACGGTAGTGGTAATGACTATGGACACTCTAACTATGGCAGAAATGGCTATAGTTTGGAGAAAAGCCACAATCAATCTTACAGTCACCAGTATAATAAAGACCAAGGAGTTCATGCTGAGTACTCATATTCTGGTTATGCAACAGGAGTTAGTAGGGAATATAATAAGTCAGAATACAGTAGCCAAAACAGAGGGGTTATGAGAGGAGCCAGGGGTGGCAGGGGCAATCACAGTTTTCAAAAAGGTGATAAAGGTTTATCATCTGGGGGTAATAGGGGGTACAGAGGCAGAGGGAGCAACAGTTTTAATTCGAGAAGCAGAGGAGGGAACGATAGAGGGGGAAGGGGTGGTTATAGTGATAGAGGTGGTAGAGGAGGTGATAGTGTTGGAATGAATCAAAGAAATAACCACAGGGGGAGAGGTTTTATAGATCAGCGAGGAGGGATGGCTAGGGGAGGGATGGGACGGGGCGGGAATCGTCATAATGCAGGATCACATCGATATAGCCAAAGAGGTGGTGGCAATATGAACAAATTGAACAAATCAGATTGGAGTAGACAAAATCAGGCAGATAATAGCAAAAACAATCGTCCTGTGAAGGTTTCATCACAGTCCGTGACGGGCGATGCTGTGAAGCGTCAGGCTTCAACGGATCTAGAAATGGACACTTCTGGACCCTCATCTATCAAATCACTCAAAACTGAACAAGATACGGAGAATAAACCAGGGTCCAAAACTAATCGTACGGACAGCACTTCATCTGTCATATCAACAGACAGTAAAGAGGAAACATCTCCGAAAAAGAAAGGTACTGGAAAGAAGGACGACATAGAACTTGATCCAGAAGTAGAAGCAAAGCTGGCTCTGTTAATACAGCCCAAGCTTTGTAAACTTTGTAACTTAGCTATGAATAATGGTCTACAAGCAGATCAACATTATGACGGAAAAAATCACGCGAAAAAGGTACGCCTCTTCCGACAGTCAGCTGCTCTGGAAGTGACACTAAAAAAACTGGAAAAGGAAGGGAGTATTGTCACAGGAAAGACAGTAGTTTTAATGGAAGAGGATGTGCCAAATGAAAACGGAAAGAAGAAAGAAGGGCAGGCGGATGACAAGAAGGAAAAGATGGAAAGCAAAAGGTGCAAAGATGATATAGAGGTATGGTGATTACATTGCCAGTTACCAGGGTAACATTGGCACAGACCTAGCTTAGCTTAAAAGTGTATGTGTGTGTCAGGGGGTGGGGGGAAATCTGCAAGTTTTATTCCAAGCTTGAAATTGAAATCATTCATCTGACACCAAATTGACCAACAGATCATGTAGACATCAGAGAGAAATCTAGAGGTCATACATATGAATTTTACTTATCAAACTTTATGCATATATATATATATATATATAAAGGACCCTTTTATTTCCTGTGGATTTTTGTCAGCTGGATATCACAGAACTTTTCTACACATTTCCATGGACTTTCATCTCCCATTTTTTTGAAAAAAATTAATGCATATAATGTAAAAAAAAGTGATTAAAACAGTAGATAAATAGATAATAATGAACTTGATCAAACCATTGTGATACTGGCTGATATCCTAATAGTAGTTTTAGAAGTGTTAACAGGAGACACAGAGTATTTTGTTGTTTACACCTTGTAATTAGACTATGTTGCAATGTTTCAGAGGCTGGCTGGAGCATCGGAGGAAATCTATTGTAAGGTCTGTGATGTTTCCTTCAACTCTCCAAAGCAGGCTATGCAGCACTACGAGGGTAAAAACCATCACAAGAAAGTGCGCATGTCCACGCAGGCACGTGATGTCACAGAATCTCAAAAGGACCATGTCACTGTGTTGGTATTTTCCCTGTGGTTTTAGATGTGTAGTTTACACTAGAAAAAATATTACGGGTTTTGTCTTGTGTCCACTATGTTTCATAGCCCTTAAGGCTTAGCTTTGTTCAGTTTTGAAAATGATTCTTTGGAGTAAAAACCAATTCCAGTAAAATGTGTATTTGGCATTAAGTCTCCAAAATAAATCACTTCTATTAATGGTTCAGTTTAACTACTGGTCTGTAATTCTTAGCAAATTATCAATTAAGTTCTGTTAAATTAAATTTCCCCATTACATCCCATGGCAGAGAAATTATCAGTAATTAGCTAGCTAAAACCATTTAATGTTCCACCAGTCAATTAAAAACATGTTATTGCTTTTTGAGTTCACCTGGTCCGAAGTATAGATGAGCTGATGCCATATTGCAGGTATCCATTGTCCGTCATCGTTTTCTACATATACTATTTGTCATGAAAAACTGAGCTAATTTTGATAAATTTGTCAGAATCATTCTTCAGGCAAGCAGAAATGGGGACAGGAGGGGTGGGGCCAAATGGGGGAATCAGAGCAAATTCTTCATAATTCTACTCCAGTAGGAATGATTGGATTTTGCCCAAATTTGGTCTGAAGCAGTTTTGGGGGAAAGGGAATTAATTTTGTATAAGCAATGGGTCTTGACCTTTGGATGGACATGACCTAAATCCTACTCCTTCAGTAGGAATGATTGAATGTAGCCCAAATTTAGTCTGATGCATCCTTAGTAAGTTGAAATCAGTTTAATATAAACAGTGGGTCTAGGTCCCATGGGATGGGAGGGGCAGGACCCATTTGAGGGGAAATAGAGTAGAGTATTTTTTTTTCAAATTCTTCTTCTTTAAGAATGGCAGAATTCTGTCCCAGTTTGGTATGAAGCATAAATTGTTTTGCTGACCCTCTTCAGACCGAGGGATGGGGCCCAATGGTGAAATAGATAATGTGTTGTGTCCTTGGAATCTTAAAATTCCTTTTACTCTAGTTCGGATGAAGCAATTTCAGCCAAACAAAGCCAGGTGAGTGATACAGGCCCTATGGGCCTTTTCTTTTCCATTATGTACATTAGTTGTGACTAACAATTGTTTTTCTGTTCAATACAGAGACGGCACAGTGTTCGAATGTAAACTCTGTTCAGTCCATGTTACCTGTCAAGAACAACTCAATGCACATCTAGACGGGGCCAAACACAAATCCAAGTTAAAATCTCAGGAGCGTGGTGACTGGGCAAGTGGCCGTGCTGGTTTTGGCCACAGAGGCAGAGGAAGAGGTAAGTAAATACCTCCAATTTACCCCAGACTAGAAGGAGATGTCGAGTTAAGGTTTTCTTTCCTAATTATTTCGGTAGACCAGAAGGCATCTTTCAGGAATGGCGACTCTCTGTCACTCTCTGCACCTGTTACTCATGGCAAAATTGAAGGCTTCATGTGCGATTCTTTTTGGATAAGACGCGGAGACTAATCTGATCCTTAATAGCATTGTTTTGTCTGTGCAGGGTTTCAAATACCTAATCACCCTCTACATCTACACAGTATCTGGTATTTGCTCGGAATTTATATTTTCTGTGAGATATATAAGTATTAAAATCCCTTTAAATCCCCTCCGACTTTCATTTTGATATAGCTTTGTTATCTTTTTAGGTGTAGGATTCAATGGCTGTCCAGGCTTCCAAGATGGTGCTGGTTACAAACGAGGCTATCCATTCCCCGGGGACGATACTGACTCCGGACAACCAAAACGACACCGCGACTTTCAAAATTACCGCACACCAAGTGGTAAATTCTACTGCAAGGTGTGCAATGTCACAATGAGTGGTGACAGACAATTCGCAATGCACATGGACAGCAAAAAACACAAGACAAATAATTCTTCATTTAAACATATACCGGACGGTGAACAGGAGGTTTCATAGTGATGACCTAAGAGAGATTTACAACATCATAATGATTCCACATTCATATGCTAATCAAAATGGACTGTTGGTCTCCTACACTTTTGTATTGTGATTAGATAATCAATTTTTAATCAATGATTTAGTTAAAGATGTTGTGAACTGAAATTGTCTGTAAAAAAAATTAGTTTGGTGAATTTTGAAAGCTTCGAAAGATTTAAGTACAGGTAATGGTATTGAAAAGAAAAGTGGAAGCTGTAGAATGTGGATCATTATCACAAGGAATCGAAGTTAATTTTTGTATTGAGGGATGCCATGGGGCTCAATTTTTGTGGTTTTTCAAATATTTACTATTTAATGGTCAGTTAATTTCCTTAAAATGTAAAAGTCGCATAATATATTTATACTAATTTATCAGTTTGTGGATATTTGAATACATGGATTAAGGGTATTTATGATATCCATGAAAATAAATTCTCACTAAAATCAGTGATTTTGCAGTACAGGACATTTAAGGTAGTATAAGGGTATACAGAGGTTTATAACTCATTATACTGTTTTTGTGAAATGTTTAAAGAAATATGATACAACAGTGAACACATATTCAAGTGATTAAAGCATAAATTATGATGAAAGGTGATAGTCCTTAAGCTTTAGATTTGTTTGTGTCTTTGGGAATTTGGTTGAAGGTCAGTTAATAGTCTAGAGTTTGTATAAGGACATTGGCAAATATTTCGATGCTTGTGTATTGTGGGAAGTTGATAGGAGGAAATTTGCATATGTTTTTTGACACCTGGTCGTAGTCAAGAGACTGTTTCAGGAAATTGGCAAATTTTTTTACACATGGTCATAGTCTGAAGACAGTGTAAAGAAATTTGCAGATATTTTCACACTTGTTTAAAGCTTAGATTCAGAATGAGGAAGAGGGCAAAATGTTTCCTCCTGTGTGCCAAGTCAATCAACAGTTTGAGGAAAATGGAACTTTTAGTTACCTTTTTATAGTCTTAGATAATAGGTGATGATGACCAAATTTTCACAATGTGTTTCAAGGGATGTTTCCACACATATCTTTATCTAGTCACAATGAGGAAACTGAGTGATGTTTTGAAACCTTTGAATATAGCCTATGTGTGGAAAAGTGGAATATTTTTAAAACTACCCAGCTGGGTCATGTTTCCACATCATGTTGTAGTCTAGAGTGAATGTCTCTGTACAAACAGCAATGGGATGTATGAAAATCTGGTCAAAGTTTATACTTCCTAAAATTGGATTAAAATACAGATCATCCTTATACACTACATAATCTGTCTGTTGCCACTGAGGGGTCATATTCAGATGACCTTTCAATAGACCAATAAAATCACAGTAGACAAAATCCTGCCAGAGCCATTCTTTCTTCGGCTTTTATCATGGTTGTCATTAAATAGATAGCAACGGAGTGTCCTAAATTTCAGCCATTGTGAGCCGCCTCTCACCAGAAAGAGTGAATTTATTGGATAATATAAACCTTATCTGTAGATTCTCATTTTAGATTATCATATCTACTTCTGAAGGAAATGAGGTGATTTAACATATTTTCAATACTGCTTCTATGAAATTGCTTGTACAATCACTCTCTTTTTTCTCCAATTTGCATACACTGTTGAACAGGTGTGTAAGAGATGAGCTTTGATTGGCTGAAAAAACCCATTGAGGTCATCTGAAAGTGACCTCTTGACGGCCACCATTAGATCTTCATAGCATAATATATAATGATGATCTGTATTTTAATGAGATTGTAGTTTTAACTTTGTAACTTTATTTATTGGGAGGAAATATTTCAAGTGTCAGAATAGAAAAGAATGAAAATAATATGTCTATCCTGTAACATGAAGATGCAATGCAATTTCAACTTAATCTGGAGTCAAGAAATCCAAAACACTTATAAAGGTCTCTTTTGTTATGGTTCAACTTTTTGCAGTTTTACGAAAAAAATGAAATAAAGAGAAAGTAATTTTAACCAAATTCGGGAAACAGAAGAAAGTTTCTATTTGTAACTTTATATTTTGGAAACATTTTTTTTTACGGTATTAATTTATTCTCAAAAAAATTGCAAAAAGTCGAACCGGTTTAATATAAAACCTGGTATAGTGATAATTTATGATGTTCAGAAAAATAATTATAGAACTGCTTGTGTATTACTTGAGACTTTCCATTTTTGGTCATTGTGATATATAAAGATTTATTTTACTATGTGTCTCACAAAAAGGTGCTTTTCTCTGTATATGTAGATTGATGGTGTTTGTCAAGTGCACTTTATTATCTTATCATAAATTCTTCAGAGATTATTTTTGGGAAATAAGTGGTTTTCAATTAAATATTTTGATTGTTTTAATCTTTGATTTCTAACTGGAATATTTTCAGTTTGTATTTGTGAATGGAGTGTCTGTTTGAAAAAGTACTAAGGGCTATTCCGGTAAAACATCTACTTGGTCACAGGACTGAAATAAAATCAATTTTATCTTTTGTTCAATCTTCTACCTGAGCAGATTTTCAGTTAAATTCTAGGACGTTACCCTGAAACAAAACCTGGAAACCTGTGGTAAAAATGATGTTTTATTAGAATGGCCCCTAGAAAGCCTGGAGCACTGAGGTGGGATGTTTTACTGGAATAGCCCGATATAGATTAAGAAGCATGTACCGGGGAGGAAAATTATTTAAATGTAATATGTAGATGACATGGATGGTTCATACTTTACATGCAGGTTGAGGTTGTGGTATACAGGGGAATGATTCTATGAACACAAACTGATCGTCCATATTTTTACTACCTTAAGAGGTTGTTAGAATTATATTTTTATTTGAAATAATTTTGTAATATGTGTATGTTCAAGTTCACTTCCATCACATGGACCTGTAACAGTGTTTCTCAAGCATGAAGGTTTTATGGTTTACTTTAACTAGTAAAGAGGACCATCAAGATGCCAGAGAGATATTCACCAGCCTCAGAAAAGCTACTGGTAGGTGAAATTCTCTCTGGTGTTTCATTGGCCCCCTTTACTAGTAAAAGTACACCGTGTCCCCGGAAACATTGATACAGGCCCTTGTGACTCCATAGACTGCAACTATCCCCCCATAAAATAAATAAATGGTGGATTTTTATGAAAAGAAGATCGAAATAAAATTGTATGTATAAGGAATGAAAATTATCAGTCAAAAAAAAAAATGACATAGATTAAGACTTTGAAAGAGTTTATTGTAGATTAAGACTTTGAACAAGTTCATTGTAGATTAAGACTTTGAACAAGTTTATTGTAGATTAAGACTTTGAACAAGTTCATTGTAGATTAAGACTTTGAACAAGTTCATTGTAGATTAAGACTTTGAACGAGTTCATTGTAGATTAAGACTTTGAACGAGTTCATTGCAGATTAAGACTTTGAACGAGTTCATTGCAGATTAAGACTTTGAACGAGTTCATTGCAGATTAAGACTTTGAACGAGTTCATTGCAGATTAAGACTTTGAACGAGTTCATTGCAGATATTGCAGATTAAGACTTTGAACGAGTTCATTGCAGATTAAGACTTTGAACGAGTTCATTGCAGATTAAGACTTTGAACGAGTTCATTGCAGATTAAGACTTTGAACGAGTTCATTGCAGATTAAGACTTTGAACGAGTTCATTGCAGATTAAGACTTTGAACGAGTTCATTGCAGATTAAGACTTTGAACAAGTTCATTGCAGATTAAGACTTTGAACGAGTTCATTGCAGATTAAGACTTTGAACGAGTTCATTGCAGATTAAGACTTTGAACGAGTTTATTGTAGATTAAGACTTTGAACAAGTTTATTGTAGATTAAGACTTTGAACGAGTTTATTGTAGATTAAGACTTTGACAAGTTTATCATAGATAAGAATAGTGTTCAAATGACCTATGTTTATTTTGTTATTCTGTGGAAAAACTTAGCAAGTATCTTAGAATTTGCTCGATGTGTAAATGTTTTCAAAGGAGCTTGATACCTTGTAAAACCAAGCAGTCTGTTGATCTGTCTATGTCTTTAAAAGTCAAATTGAGGGCTACTGTTTCAGTGTTCCCCGTTGTATTTTGAAACTGGGGATGTTATGTGCACCTAACAATGCATTTATATAGGAGAGTGGTTGAAAGCCAGTTGGTGCTGTTTGGTATCCTGCTTCAAGGGTTAAGGAGAATACTACTGCTGTAATTGTGTATATTATTATGGAAGTTACTATGATATTATGATAAAATACCATGTAAGTAGAACAAAGATTTTCTTGCCAAAAATTCATAAGCTTTGAAATACCGAAATATCAAAATTCCATTTGTATTCTTTTCACCCCTGGAACTCACCATGATGAAATTGTTATCTCACTGCAAGCGATTTGGCACTGGGTATTTTTTTTTGTATCAATTTATATTGTTACCAGTGATAAAGCCACTTAACAGTATATACCTGCAGTAGTGAACAGTAGTTGTAAACACAAGCATCTATATATTAAACATTTATAAGTGTGTCCAGACAAAGCAGAGACTGCAAACTGCTGTCAGTGCTATGGTCGTGAGTTTTCTTTATGGTAAGAACCGCTGAGGTCATTTGATATGTAGAATGCTCTGTTCAGATTTGTGTAAACTGGAGATTATTTTACAAACTATGTATAGGGTATGCCATTCAATTTTAACTACTAGCTTTTATTTTTATTGATCGTTGTCTAAAACATCTGAAATATATATCTTTTATTTGTACCAGATATGTGTATAAATTATTAACAAAAATTGTATCCATGTAAATTGAAACCCATTTTGGGATTACCACAATTTTGCCATAACTGCAGCGATATTAAAAATGTCAGATGGAAAATTCCCCTTTATAATGACAATTTCTCCATCATTTTAGAGTTTTCTTTAGAAGATAATTATACATATACATCTATGTATCAATATTTAAGTTTTCAAACTTATCTCAAAATATTGATGTTATATCTTCTCCTTCTTCAGTCTGGTATTTTGTCAGGAAGCAGT